TTTGGTGGTGAGGGTGGCGCTCTGCTCTTAGTCTGCCTCTGTTCATATCAGTGGGGGGGGGGAAAACTTAATTTTTCAACTTTCAACGCTGGAAATAAAATAAAAACTTTATCCACTTAAACAAACCTTTTCTGACARGATCTGATTGTTTCACGTTTTCCCCTCCTTGCTCTGCATGTTACAATATTTACTCATCCATCAATATAGTTTTTCCCTGACGTCCTTGGTTTAGTTCTTTTTATTCGTGCTTCATTTTCTTTTATTTGTTTAGCTAAATGTTTACCTCTCTTACAGCTCTATTCATGATACTTCAGGGATTTTTGTCTTTTGTTTGTTTGATTGATTCATTGGTTTGACCCAACGGGAGCAGATTTAATATAAACAGAACACTTAAAATCAAATAAAAAAATTAAAAACATAATAAAAAATTTCTATTGTCGGGTCAAAACATGGAGCTTTATAGTCTTTGTGAGGAAACACCTGATTTCGACATAAACACTTTTTGAATTAAAAGCAGTTTTTTATGCTAAAATGAAAACAGTCTCATTTTTACATCTATTTCAACTCAGTTTACACAGGAAGAAATAAAAAGCAGAACATTACATTTGTGTGATTAAAAATCTTTTTTAACTTTATCAAACTAGAATTTGCACCATGAATACAGCTTTAACTTTTTTTATTATTGTTTGGAAAATAAGAATAATGTTTTAAAGTTGATCTAAATCATTCATATTTTCATATTTAACCATGATTAAAGTGGTTAAAGTTTTAAACTTACAAAGTGAAAAAGGATTTATCTGTTTGGTAATGTTAAAGAAAAAAGTTATGTAGAACAGTGGCATTAYGGACCAGTTTCACACAAACATTTCTCCAGACCAGTGGGGAAAAAGAAACGTCATGTTTTGAATAAGATGAAAAACCTAACTGTAATATAGCTGTGCTTTTGTTTAAAAATGTTTTGTATTTTAAACTCATGTAATTTACTTTATGGCCACAATGTGTCTGCTTTATTGTATGGCACTTTGGTTGGCCTTGTGCTGATTTAAGTGCTTTATAAATAAAATTCAATTCAAATTCAAAAACACTTTATTGACCCCAAAGGGAAAGTACAGAAGTGGTAAGGTGGGGTTTTGCTCGGGTTAGCTTGCAGGTGAAAAATAACTGAATCAAGCAACAAAAGGGCTCWTTTTTTCAACACGAAACACAATAAAACAATACAATTTAAAGCCTATCATTCCTTAAATAAATGCTGCTCTGGGAAATGGACCGAGTTACAGTTTTGTTTATTAAAACTGTGTCGATGTCATGTGACAGACCCACTCTGAGAGTTTCAGTCAAATTCATTCAGTTCACGAGATATTTTACTAATGCTACACACAAACACACAGCTATAAGATGAAGAACATTGTGTTTTGTGTAACAGAGGTTTCTGAGCACCACCAACAGATCTAAGTGTTGCTTGTAGAGAGAACCWCAGACTGAGCCAAACACATATTCTGACTGGTTCTGTCCAAACGGAGCGCTTTAAGCTCTGTGTGGTGACGGGGCTACAGATGCTGCTGCCGCTGCGTTCAGTTACAGCTTTTCATGACAATCAATTAGAGGCTAACCCCACCCAGGGTCTCCCCTGTGGGACCTTTAATCATCAGGCTTCAGTAACGGGCCAACAGGGAAAACATGAAGACGACAGTCTGTGCTTTATTTAAAGGCTTTTTATACTTCAGCGTACAGATGRCTCATATTAAAACTCACCTAAACAAGTTAAATCAAATAAATCCAAACAGTTTTAAGGTAAAATAAATGAACCTGAACTGAAAAGAAATTACTTTTTCACTCTTACTATGAAAATGTGATGGCTGAGTGAATAAAATACAAACACTAGTTTTTTTTTAATGAAAAAAAGTCCCGATGAATATTAATAGATGACAGTAAGCACAGTACACAGAGCAGTATTGTGGATAAATGATAATAATGCA